AGGTGGCTGGAGCCCTGGCGCCCTGGGGGCTCAGTCGCTTGGAGTTCACCTCCTGGGAAGTGTCCAGGGAACCCCAGGGCACCTCAGAACCTCCACAACCAGCCCATAAAAATACAGCATGCCAGTTAAATTTGAATTTCAGATAAACAATAACTTTTCAGTGTAAGCCCCATGCATAAATAATAATAATTATTATTAATCCTCATCTGGGGATATTTTTTACCATTGATTTTTAGAGACAGTGGAAAGGAGGGAGGAGGGGGAGGATGAGAGCCATGGATTGGTTGCCTCTTGCATGAGCCCTGACCAGGGCCAGGGATTGAACCTGCAACTGAGGTATGTGCCCTTAACCAGGAATCGAACTGCAAACCTTCAGTCTATGGCTGATGCTCTAGCCACTTGGCCAGGGCCCAGGCAATTATTCATGGTTTATCTGAAATTCAAATTTAACCGGTGTCCTGTATGTTTTCTGGCAAGCCTACCAAGGGGTGACAGTAAGCATCTTTGTCCCCCGTTTAGTTAATCCTCGCCTGAGGATATTTTCCCACTGATTTTCTGAGAGAGTGGGAGAGACAGAGAAACATCGGTATGAGAGAGAGACAACGATTGGTTCCTCTCCCATGTGCCCGAGTGGGGCCAGGGAAGCCAGCCTGCAACCGAGGTACTTGCCCTCGACCAGAATTAAACCCGGGACTCTTTAGTCCTCGGGCTGACGCTCTATCCGCTGAGCCAAACTAGCAAGCGCTGTCTCCTAACATTAAAAAAAAAAAAAAAGGCACCAGTTTGGTGTGTGTGCAAGTGCGAGCAGGCTGGGGTGTGTATGTGTGTCTGTGCACGTTCAAAGAGGCACAGCCTGGGTCTGTGTAGGACAAACCCTGTGCATCAGTGGGAGTGGAATGAAGGTGTGGGGGCCATGCACCTACTGGGTATATGCACATGTGAAAGCAGGGGGTGCCCACCCGTGGATCTGGGTGCTGTGGGGCTGATACCATTGCAGTTTCCTCACAAGCCTGTGCCT